GAGCGTCGTAGCTGACGAAAGGCACCTATCACCCCTTTGCTCCACGGAGGACACGATGGATACACAGACCAGCCAAAAGACGCCGCGACATTCGAGAAAGTGGATGAGAAGGAGCACAACCCACAGCCATGGATCACTATTGCCAACGAGCGAACAAGCACCGACAACCGCAGTCTCGAACCGCACCGAAGCAAGAACAGACCAGAACTCCACTGAGCCGGCTACACGCCAAAGCCGGCCTAAGACGCTTCTGCCCATACTGCCACCACTACCTGCCAAGGACTACAAGATCCCAATCCGACCACACGGACGACTAAATCTGGGCAAAGTTAGCCCAAGAAGCAAAGTTGGCAAGCGTGAAGTCTAGAATCATGCTCCGTGTTGATGAAAATCAAAACGTTCTAAGAATAAGCACCTCATCGGAGAACATTGTCTCAGCACTAGGAAAAATCACCAAAGGTAGTGTGCGCAGCAACCTACGACATCACCTCATATGCTTTTGCACCTGATTATTCATGCAAAGGGGCATGGTCCATGATAATTCCTGCAAAGGGATGTGGTCCATGGAATAGGCCAAGATACCACACCAGAAGACTCAAGTCGAAGTACCGGGCTAAGAGGTCCTCACGTGCAGACGCCTCGGCAACTCTGGTGCATTGCTGCTCACGTTTTGTGGCAAGAGGGTCCAATTCTTTGTCAATGCACACGGGCAGGCTCTTCTTTGCTACCTCTACAAACAGACTATTCCCCACTGCAGAATGTGTAGTAAGACAGGACACCTGGATGTCTGCCCACAACCTCCAGAGAAATGTCCAGTGTGCGGGTACATCAACAATCAAATGCCACCCTCTCTGCATGCTATGCAGAGGTGACCACCCAACAACTGCCAGACTCAAACCATCCCGGCCAGCTCCATTCAACCAAAAAGACCAGTCACCATCCCCCAGCCCTGGACGTCAGAGCAGCTCGTCCAAGAGTGCAGCCGGCCGAAAGAGTCGTCCGAGTAATAAGTCGGGGGGCCCAGACGAGGAAACTTGTCGTTGCGGAGCTTTTCTGCTGGCCAGCAGGGAGCTCCAGGCAGACGCAAGGAAGGGATTACACATGATCAAGGCCAGCATAGCGCTCCTCGCCAGAAAGCACCAATGGTAAGCTGGGCAGAGCACTTCTCTCCTCTCCCTCACTCTTCACATTTTCCCCCTCTCTCGAAGAAACACCAACGCAGCAAAAGAACACCGCAACCCATGTCAGGGGACACCCAGCTTCACCCTCACACGCCACCAACTACGGTGTGCACAAACTATTGCACGCGAGAGGCATTGAACGGAATGGCTACTTTTTTAAGAACATTGTTTACAGCTATGATGCTGGTAGAACTGCAGAAAATGAAGGATACTATTATGGCAGAACTAGCAGTGCCACCCCAACAATTAATTCAGCTGGCTCTGAAACCCGCTGTCCAGGAGATTGTAGCGGATGTTAAACAACTGATAGCGGTGGCGCTCGATCACCTACCTACTACTCTACCTGCACCCAGCGCTCCACCTCTACAATGCGCGAAACACAGCGAACACATCCTTATATAGGCCCTTCCAGCTTCATAGCACCGTCCCGAAAATCCGCCCCTCTACACTGATGCAGCACGGTACCCAGTTAATTCAGCCACGTGTTTAGTAGCAGATAGAGATGACACTCTCACATGGCGTCTGCCACTCTATGCACTACAGACGGTAGTTCTGCAGAAGAGGGAGCTCTTGCTCCGGCAATTATTCACACTACAACATTGTTGCATGGCTCTCCTGTCAGCATAGTGACAGACCCACAAGCTGCTTGCCGTGCCCTCGCTCTAGGACTTGTGGCTGCCCATATGCACAGAATCCTTTTTTTGTCTCTCCGTCCGCATTACGCCCGGTGCGTATGGTCTGAACTCCTGGACACGTCTCTCTCCGTGGTAATGAACGCGTTCATGCGGTTGCCCGAGGTCTGACTGGCCGGGCACCATTGGAAGAGCTGTCCAACCCAGACGATGCTCCATCAGAACTTCTAAACTACACGGCGACGCTTGATTACTACTGACAGAGCCGTTATAAATGTCGTTGTCCGTCACTTACCAGAGCAGATGCTGCCGCTTGGCGGCAACTGCAGACCAATTCATTTTCGTGCTTACACATGCTTAATTAATCGTTTTCATCCAACTCTGTACCCCTCCTACTGTCCCTTCTGTGGCTCTGTACCGACAGTATACCACTCTACATGGGAATGCTCTGCTCCATTGGGTGTTCCTCCCATTCCCTACCACACCCCTTCTTGGGAGTCTGCACTGCTCAGCTTACACAAGCAGGAAAAGCAACGGCTGGTCCAGCGGGCTCACAGGGTGGCGCAAGGCACTGGAGCTCTGCACTGAAGGCCCCACCCAACGAGGGCTCTCGGTATAGACACTAGCCAATAAAAATTTATTCCGTCTCTGGGCTTACGGCTGAACCCGGGTATGAGGTGGCGAGCTCATGTTGGGCACGGCTTGGACATTGCTCATTTCATAAAGGAACGCTGAAGTGAAGCCACTGACTTTGTTTAGTCTGACTGGCCCGGCATTTTCGGGTGGGCCAGAGCAAGTGCAATGCTCTAACCTGCCGCAGCAATTTTCTTCCCACGACGTCAAACTGGTGAGCCCAGTGTGCAACTTCAAATCTCTAAGTGGCTGTTCTGTCGTAGAGGGCGTAATATTAAAGTAATTCTGTACTTAAATTTATGTGCACATTTAATAGCACTTTTTGGTCAGGATTACATGACGTCGTGCATGTACACATTGTCTCGTAATTGTATCTTTGTTCTTGCTTATGGAACTGCGACATCTACGATAAGCAGCATTTAATGCCAATGAAAGTTAGATTAAATTGCATTGAACGAAATCTTTAGTCTGAGATAATAAACAAAAAAACCACATGTTTGTACGTATCGGAGAACCTCGTGCGTCTGGCACGTGTGCGATGGAGAGTTGGTAATCAGCCGGGGGGGCTGCCATGGTGATGGTGCTTGGCTGCTGACCCAAAGGTTACAAGTTAGATTCCTGCTGTTGGGGTTATATTTTGGTGGAGGTGAAATGCTGGGTAGTCCACTACACAATGCCAGGGCTCGATAAATGACGCAAGATAGTCAAAATTTCCGGTCTTTGGGCTTATAAATCCCCTGATAAATAAAGGAAATCAGTAAGTAGGAAGTAGATACGTCATGCAGCTGCCATTAAGCTAGTGTAGAACAGAGCCAGCACCCGTTGCTGGGCCCGCTGTCCTATTATCGGCTTCGTCGTCTTCTCTCTCTCAAGTATGCGCCCGAGCCCGATTGCTGTTTCATCATCGCTACACTAGGTACAATTTGTGCCCCAGTGAAGAGAAAGAATCGGGGAATGAAGTACAGGAGCTGGACCAATATCTGTTTTGTACAACAGATCAACAAATTTACTGATTGCCGTACAAGTGTAGTTTACTGGATCCCTTCCAGCTGTGGCCGCTTCTAAATTAAGCAGACATTATTGGAATGCAAGATTTTTCTAACTGGATGCTCACCGTCTAATTTTTATTTACATTTTCGAGAATGTAAGTGCATGTCAATGTTTGATGCACAGTTTTAGGTGTATGGGAGGAGACGTTCTCGGGTGTTTGCGACGGTGCATGTCCCCCTGACAAGGGCTTGTCCCAGAATGGGTGCCAAGCCCTTCTCCGGCATATCAATAATAGTGGTAGCTCGCATGTGAGCCAACAGTCCATTAACTTGCATAAAGGTGAAATCACCTGCCTTTACAGTAATCTTTCGTGTATATCTTGCATGTCAAATTGATTGGTTCACATATAGCATGGGCACGTGTTGATAAGCTTTCCTGTCTCTCTTGTGGGACATTTTGCCAGTATTAGCTGAATCAACGCATGAAAGCACCTAGGTGTGATGTAAAAATGCATTTATTGCACACACGCACAGACATGCATAAGTACACTGGAGAGTAGAGCTAACGATAGGCAGCTAGGTCCTCGGAACAACATAATTAGCAAGGTATACCATAACCACATTCTATGGGTGTCCCTAGTTCACTCTTGTTTGCTTGTCGGCTACGAGCTCAACTTTATGCTCACTCTCAGCTACTCACGGTGGACCTCAGTCACACTTACATCAATCCTTCGCTCACCGCGTTCATCGGTACAGACATCCTCACTGGTCTAGAAGGGCACTGCGCCCACAATGGGAGTTGAGAGGATGTCATTCCCCTTGTGAGTTGGATTGGTGCGGGCAGGCACTCCAGGCACTTCCAGCCCACTCTGACCTGTGTGCACAATTGTGGCATGGCAGGCGGGTGGCTGCCAACCCGGGCTTGTTCGAAGCCGACCTGTCCCGGTCGCTCGCTGCACCGCCAGCTGTCTGAATGACCGGAGCAGGAAGTCGGCAGCTTGCTGAGGTGGCAACGCGGGCGGCTCTCAGTGTTGCAGTCCTGGAGTCGGGCTCCCCAAAATCCTGGCTGCCTCGACTATCAGTAGTTTTGTCCACCGTCCTGGCCAATGTAGTCTTTCGCACGTGCGCGCCTTCCAGTTTGGTGTGCCCGCATGCCTTCCTCTTTTTCTAGTCTTCCAATTTTTTTTCGTGCACTCATTCTGTGCCTTGCTTTTCTTCTTTGTCTTCTGCCATTTTCCTTGTCATCCCTGACTCTAGGCTTTTGTAGCGTCCCGACTTCTTGTACCCATGTTTGAACGTCTTGTCTTTTAGAATATTTACGTACCACCTATACCTGGGCTCTTTTATTGTGTAAGAATGTTAATTTTTATTGTAATGGTTCACTTGAAGGTGTGCTGTTCGAAAGGCTGAATCAGAATTATTGAGCAGCTTATTTGATAGCATATCGCTCTTTGCTCAACTGGCAAGATATATATTCATGTGACAGGCGATCTTTTAAGCCTCAGTATAGCGTCACTCTCTCTCACATGCTGACCTCCAATGTTGCACCTTTCGTTTGCCAACAGTGACACCAAGGCAAAGGACATCTGCCTATATCTAGCCAAAGCGGTGAGTGAGTCCTTATTCCTGTTTTGTTATGTCAGTGTAACTGCTCACCTTACTGGCAAGGTCTCTCTCAAGTACTTCAAAAGGATGGGAAAGTTGGCAGAGTTGTTATGGAGGCATAATCGAAAATTCGAGCACGAGAAGACAAGGGCGCGTATTCAAATTACATTCAGTTGTGATGCTCGTCCAGTCTTTTCTAGTGTTTGTCATTATCTCTCATTTTCAATTACGCCTCGATCACTATGAAAACCGGAATGCAGTTTGACCCAACTCTCGACTTTGAGCCACAGTAAACTTGAAAATTTTAAATATAACAATAAATCAAACAAAAATGCACATGCGTCAGCCAAAGTATTAGGACACCTTTACCATGAAAGAAACGTGACTACAAATAGCACACAGTGTAAATGATGCCTATTTGCATGTGCATTTACGGGCTAGTTCAACTGTGGTAGAAAGCGAAAAGATGGGCTCAAGAGTTGCCTTTCTCAAAATTCGCAACTATGTTGATAGTCGTAATTAAGATGCATCTATGGTCACTGGTTGCAATCGTGACACGAGCTTTCTGCAGCCTGTGTCTCCAGGTGCAGATATTCTGTGGTGTGGCACCAAAACAAATTGTTTTGTTTTTTTATTGCAGCATGTCGTGTGATCCTTCAGCGTCCACTAGTAGTGAATGCTTTTGTGACGCATTCGAGAGTACAACTTGCAATTGCCTTTTTTTCTTGTTTCCATCTTTTTTTACTTTCACTCCCAGGCATCTGTACCATACTTCAAGATGCTGGAGGGCTGGGTGTACAGGGGGCGCATCAACGACCCATTTAAGGAGGTGGGTGCTTTCCTCTGTTTGCTTGCTTTTGTTTTTCTGGTGAAGCTTTCTGTGACTAGTAAGTTTAAAGTAGTGGCATTTTACGTTGAAATCTAGTAGTTATAATAGCCGCTGTGGTCTAGTGGCTATGGGGCTCTACTGATAACGCTAATGTTGCGGGATCGAATCCCAGTGGCGGCGGCTGAACTTTCGATGTAGGCGAAAATGTTTGAAGCCCATGTACTTAAATTTAGGTGCATGTTAAAGAATCCTAGGTTGTTGAAATTTCCAAAGCTCTTCACCATGGCATCTTATAATCTTATTGCAGGGGGTTTGGAACATTAAATCCCAAAAAATAGGAAGAGAAAGCGACAATCCTGGCACTCGCAAGCAGACAAAATAGTGGCCCTCGGGGGTTTGCTATGTATATGCTTTTTCCATGTGCGGTTTCCCAGTAATTTCTGCTATCATTATAGGCCAACTACAACGAAATTGGGCACTCCGCAAAAAGTCAATATATAGGTAGTCTAGCTAGAAGTAGTGCTGCGTGCCAAATGTCGCCTTCGAAATACAAGCGCTTACTTTAGAAAGAAGCTTGCAAGCGACGACGTTTTCGAGAACGAAACTAGAAGAAACGACGCCATTACGGCTGACCAGAAGTGACGTAAACGGCAGAAAAATAGTTCGCTCCGCGCTCCTCGAGCACGCACATCACGGACGCGCCTCTTAGTGTGTGTGTTTTTTCTCTGTTAACTTCAAGAAAGCTACGTCAACATGCCTCTTATGAAACGCTGGTTCGGGCTTTCAACTGGTGGGTTTGCATTGTCTGAGTCCCGTATTCAGATACGCTTCTCGACTTGAACTTGACTTGCCATCAACTTCAATGCAGCACGAATGCGTTTTGAACGTGCTGTCTTTAGGTGGTGCCAAGGCAGTGCAAACGCACAGATGCATTTCATACGTGCTGCATTTAAAAACGGTCTCAACGCTAGAAAAGCAATTCAGCGGCAAGGAGGATTGCTCACACGGAGAGACGCGACTACATTCTGCAGTACGTAATTGTAATATCCGGTTATTTCCGATTTGCCTAGGCACACCGCTAGAGCTCCGCGTTTTCTGTGTTCTGGCAATTAAAGCACCAATTATAAATTAAATATGCGACTACAAGATTTTTCACTGTCATTATCGTAACTTACCGTATCTGTACTTCATATTTATGGTCGTTTCTGCCCAAGTAAAATTTCGTTGCAGTTAGCCTTTAATTGTGCACCTGTGAGCATTCGGCTGCTTCTTATATAGCATATTGGTCTTTTACTGAGGTGACTAGCCACACTTGGACCTCGTTACAATGAAGTTGCATCTTATAGGAAAATAATTTTTTTATATCTGAAAATTCGTTATAAAGGTATATTTTTAACACTGTATCTGTTGCAAGAGAAATTTTTTTTGCTTTAATATAACCAATGTTTTGTTTTATCAGGGTTCATTATATTAAGGTTCACCTTTGCCTGGATGGGAACACATTACCGTTGTTGTTTCCTGTGCACCGAAGAAGGAAAAAAGTTTAGAGGGAGCATTGTGCAATGCAGTAGGAAGAATGAAAAATATATTAGGCCAGGCACACGCATTCCAAGCTCTCCCGACAAGGGCTTGTCGGTTTCTCTGTTGAACTTTTTGCTGCAGGCTCAATCAATTTTATGCTTTGTTGCTGAGCGATGAGGATGACATGCTGAGTGTATCTTTTTGTCTCTCTCTCCTCCTTTCAGTTCCTAGTTAGGGACAAGGTTCTCGTGAAGAAGGAAGACATGTCCATCGACAACACTGACAAGTATCCTTGCACAGTAGTTTTCCCTCTCTTGTTTTCGTTCTCTTCTCTGTGAGGCAGTGAACTACATTTGGGCATGGCAGGGGCGCAAGGATTGCTCCTGGAACACTTTAGCATTGTCCAGAGTCGATCTGTAAAACAGGCGAAGAGACACAGCATCTCCCACAATCTCCGTCATTGCCAAAATTTCGAAAAATGCAACATGGGGCAGCAGTCAATGTTGCTGAGGACCTTTTGTTGTCATCGTCATTATCATCATCAGCGTATTAGTAAACATCACACAGATCATGTGAGCAGAAGGGAGTAATAAAGAAATAAAGGAAACGTTTCAATGATAATGCTCGAAATAAGGCTACGCTGTTCTGGTCTGCCCTCGTGTACACCAGTGTATAGAGTTTCCTAAACTTAACTAGAGGGGACCCTGGCACTGCGATCATTCAGCCACCATGGGAATCGTGGGTAGTACACAACTTTACTTTGTCTTTGTGTTCACGGCTTTGAACACACTTGTGGCTTTGTTTATTGCCTTGTTTTGGTTTTGTTTCGTATAAAAGGACTACGGTGAACCTTGTGACCCGATTTTAATTCGTGAACCTAAAAAGGTCGAGGGGGTGAAGTGTAACTGCTGAACCTTTACTCAACTTCTTCTTGCGGGAAAGCGGATTTGGGCCGCAAGGAGTCAGACTGGGCCGGAAGAACGGAGATTCGACAAATTCGTGTACTGCCAATCATTCTCATGCTCGCTAAAGCTCTGTGCGATGCAGCTCCCATAGACACTAGCACCGGAGTTCTAAGGTACTTGCGCTCAAACCTCAATATAACGAATGCAGATATTAGGAAATACTGTTTACAACGAAGTCAATGAAAAATACTCTTGCGATAGGGAAGGGAATAAGCCTTCATAACAAATTTTTGGATGTAAGGAACCTGATTTTCATGCAAGATGTGATTTTATGAGGTTTGAGTGTACAGGAAACTCTATGCACTCGTGCACTTACAGCTTCGCTGCCGATCTTCGTGGCACGGAACTAGCCGCGATTCTTTAGCCTCCTTGACTTGTATGCTGCGACAGCTACTGGAACAGCCGGTACGCTCTGCGGCCAGAGATGACTCCAGACTTCCTGAGGCCACTGGAGGATCGCATTCTCACGACGGGAAAATACCAGAATGTAATTCTGCAATGCGGTAAGCTGTGCTTTACTGGCAAAACAGTGAATGTAACTGGTCTGTCGTGTCCTGCCCTACTTTTTTTTTCCTACAACCTTTAGCTGGACACATATGACAATGGACTGACTGGTAGCTTTGCATATAAGACATTGTGCAGTTGCTTGTTTTGATAAGGGCAAAGAGCAACAACATCCTTTTCTTTGATTTAACTGCACATTAAGGAAACCTGTGTTTGAAATTGATATGGAATCCTCGGACATCAGAGTGACTCATAATCTTAATATGGTTTCGGACTCTAAAACTACAGAGTCGAAAGTGCTTATGGTAAGTGCATCTCCATCTAGCTCAATGAGCTGTCCTACTAAGTTGTCCTTATAGAAGTGTGAGACGGTTTTACATGTTGTATCCTATATAATGGTGTGCCGTCAGTATAGACCTCGTAGATTTCACCTTGGTCATGTGTTGGTGGGTGTGTTGGTTGCTGCATGGAGTTCTCTCATTTGGGGCATTAGACATATGTTTATGAAGCAGAAGCCGAGGGATGGCACACCGGGCTCATCCTTGCCCACCCCCCTCAAGAAATGTTTTTACGACAGGGGGCTGAGAGCGAAAAATGACCACTTCAAGGAAGTGCCGCCTCCCTCCCCCTTCCAAATCGAGGTGCCACTCTAGAAAAAATTTCTGGCTGTGCCCCTGTAGCTAACATAAGACATGTGGAGACAGTCCGCATGAAGCATTTGATTCAATGCAACTCGCGCAGGCCAGAGAACAGCATTGTGTGCGAGTGATGAGCAGCTCCGGTACTCGCTGGACGAGCGTGACTACACCGAGAAGATCGACAAAGTGTATCACAAAGCAAGCCGCGTGCTTCTCAACCTCCTTATGGACAAGGCGGACCTGATGGGACGCCTCAGGTGGGTGGCAGAGTCCTCGCTTTCTTCGTCCTGTCTGCGACATCATTGCCGCTGCATGCGAGGCTTTAGAAACACCCTTGAAAGTGTTGTGGCCCAATGTGCCTAAAAGAAACACTCTAAAATATAGCACCTTGTTACTATTTATTTTTAGTGCAATATGTAGCTTATGACCCACTTATGGCTGATACCTTGTTTGCACTAGTGCACGTTGGTTATTTATAGATGTTTTTAGAGTGCCAAGTCCTATTTTCAGTTTCAAGGAGCACCGAGCTAGGCAGAGGCAGTTCAGAGGGCAAGGTAAACACATCTGGCCTAGTCGCCACGCAAAACTGACGTGGGCACCATGCACGACATTGATATCAATCAACCCACCGAGCACTCCCAGTTTGTGCGAGTGCTCAGCGGCTGCAAGCACTCAGACCATAGAAGAAAAGGAAAAGAATGACCGAGGGCAGTTGGGGCTGAGCTCTAAAGCAGTAAAAACGTGTCGGTTGCTTTCCACTTTGTCTCTCAGAAGTTTCTGGGTCTGCCACAGCCCGAAACCTCACAAGTTATTAACCGGTTATTTTATCATTTCAAGCACCTAAGAATGGTATTGCCCAATCATAGAGTTCTAGTGGCAGTGGCATTCTACTGCTGACTTGAAAGTTGTGGGTCATTGATTGATTGATATGTGGGGTTTAACGTCCCAAAACCACTATATGATATGAGATGCAATAAAGTTGTGGGTCATATCTCGACTGTGAAGGCGACATTTTTTATGGAAGCAAAATTGCTTCAAGCCCGTGTACTTAGATTTAGGTGCACATTGGAGAACCCTTCACTATGGCGTCGCATAACCTCATCTTGGTTTTGGGTCATTAAGCCCTATCAATTATTACAAGAATAGCATTGCAGAATGAAAGAGAAAAAAATGCCATTATGCTATGAGATGCAGTTGTGCAAAGAATGTTGTATGTGAAATTAGTTTATAATTGCACAAATTATGTCCCAAGTTCACTTTCAATACTGTTGCCTCTGTACAGGGTAGTTGACTTACAAGCAATCGCATTTTTTTTCATGACGTTCTGCACCCCGCTATGCAACTACGTTGACATGTTACATGGAAGTGGTGATTGACTGATTTATTCATTCATGCTGGTGAGAGCTTGCCAACCTCTCCTGTTTGAGTTCATCGGAGGCCATTGTCTGTTGGTTTTTGGCTCGATTCTTGCCTTTCATCCTTCTCTTCGCTACTGCAGGTCAGTGAAGCACTTCCTCCTGATGGATCAGGGTGACTTTGTGGTCCAGTTCATGGACATGGCGGAGGAGGAGCTCTGCCAGAATATCGATGACATCGTTCCCACCCGCCTGGAGGGGCTGCTGCAGGTGGCCCTCTCCACCAGCTCGGTTAGCAACGATCAGTACAAAGAGTGCGTCAAGTGAGTATCATGATTGTACCTCAATATTCCGGCAGGACTTCCTGTGTGAAAGTAACTTTACTTTTCATAAAAAGCAAATTTGAGTTTAAGGGATACTGGATAACAGTTGGAAAAAAAATGACGAAAGCAATACAATTCTAAGTGTCAGGCACAACCTTTTACGAACAGTTTATTTGTATTTGTTTAACGATATGGAGCAAGCTTAGAGCTGCGCGTTAACAGCCATGGCGGTGTCTCCGCAATGAAGGCAGGTTGCGTGCCTTCCTGTCTTGCTACTTGCGTTCCTCCTACTCTCCTTTAAATCTCTTGTCTCATACTTCCACAAGGGCACTGAGAAGTATCCCACTCCAGAGAATTGTTTACTGCCAGTGCTGTCTGTACCGCTCTAAGAGCGCAGTGAGAATGGAGTTGGGGGCGTTGTCGATGGCTAGCGTGGTTGACATGCCCATTTCCGAAGTCTTTTGAATCTCCTCCTCTAGTTCAAAGCATTGACGCTAGATGCAGAAGTCGGTAAATAATGAATTATATTTATGAACTTATTCTAGTTTTTGCCTGAACTGAAGGTCTCTACACATTTCAGCACCCAATCTTTCAGTCGGGCTGGAAATCATGGCTGCCCCAATTTTTTTAATATACCTTTAACAAAGTTTCGATATGACAAGGTATACTGCCAAGTTTACTGACTTCGCTGTCTTCGCTTTAACTGTATACAATCTAACCCAGCAGCACTTGATTACATATGCTAAAATGTCATGTGTCCTAGAGATCTATAATTAGTGCACACATCCTGTGTAGCTAACTTGACCCACTTTTTTCGCATATCCTTGACGCAAATGTCACGGAGGATGGAGGGACAAACCACCGGAAGACAGTGGCGAGAAAAAAAAATTGTGCGTCGACCGGCCAAAGCCCTTGCTATACTGCAAGTTTTACAAAGCTTCTTTGCAGAAAAAGCAATTTAAAATGTGGAGAAGGTTGTGCATTGTGTGCAGAAGGAGCTTTTCTTGTCCAAGGGTGAGGGGCAGCAGCAGAATATTACAATGATTTTGAGAAATAAATGTTTTTTGTTCTTACACCTCTTTATGCACTTGTCAGCCTCATTTTATGCTGGATTCGGATAGTACATTTTCCCGGATCGTATGTTTATTTTTCATGTTTTTTTAAACGTTTCATTGAGGTTTTACGTACCGCACATGGATCAGTGTGACAGTTGCCTTGGATTGTCACGGCTGCATATCTATGACGTATACATTAACTTCTCCCGAAGTACTATTGCTGTAGCACTTGAGAATCTTGATCTATCACGGTTATATCTCGTGAATGAAAACCACGTGTGTATCGAGTGTGTGTGGCTTACATTTGGGATTCTATGGGGTGCAATTTTCATGTGTGGGGCTGCCGGATTTGTGCATTTGTGTGGAACGCTGTACTCTGCACTAGAATCACATGTGTTATTGTCCCAGAGGTTTTCCATGTGTGATGTTCATGCAAATACACTCGAACCTCAATATAAAGTAACCAGATGTAACGAAATATTGGCTATAATGAAGTAAATAAAGAATGGTCTGGCAGTATCTGTCTTTTTTGGAATATATCTTTATAGCGAATTTTTGAATATAACGAAGTCTTGAATATATCGTAACATAGCGGGACTTTCGAGTCTCGCCGAAGACACCTCATCACATGCAAGCCACGTAGCTGACAGTTGCCAGCATTCATCCAATTCAAAACACCGGTTATAACTTATAAATAACGAAGTAAGTTAATAGCCTTGCAATAAATAGTGTTAATGCAACTTTATAAGGAATTTCTGGATATAACACTTATTTTGCTGTAAGATGCTGCTTCTTTATAATGAGGTTTGAGTGTGTCTCAGCGATAAGACGAAAAATTCGTGAATGCAGTTTCATTAGTCGAAGTTCTTGCAGGCAGTCTTGTCTTCCTTCGAGCTATAGGCTTGAAGCAGGCTAGACAGTTTGTCGAAACACCATTTTCGGTGGCACTCAGTTCTCACAAATTTTTCGTCTCTTCAGCTTTGTCTTCCCCTGAACATACCGTATTTACTTGCGTAATGAACCCACCTTTTTTTTCAGAAAAGTTGATGAAAATTCAGGGGGAGGGCTCGTTACGTGGGAGAAAACAGCCAGGGGAGTTATAACAGCGAAAATTTCGCATGACGGCTTTGCTTGTTTTGACCCGTGAAATGCACGACAAATTTTTTTTTTGTATCCCGAAGCTTTTCCTGTGTCATTCCGTAGCTAAAGTGCACAGATCAACGCCAAAGTGTTGTCCAGCCGCTCGGTTCAACGCCCCAGCGAATGCAGTCTGTAACCAGCCACGCAGCTAGCGTACCGGCCGAATGTGCCCTGCGCAGCAGGTGTCCCAACTAAGTTCACAATGACAAACCTGACAACAAAACTGCAGTGTTGGATGGCGGCGCATAAACGTTGCAGTAGACATTGCAGGTGCACGACGCACAGTCTGTGAGGTGTGGTTGCGCTTCGCATGGCCTCTAAGATGGCGGGCATGCAGCGTGCTTCTACACCGCGCACCCGCCTTTTGGAGGTCACCCGCTTTATTTTTTGCCATGGAGAAAGAAATTTTTTCCTCGATGTTTTTTGCTTTGTTTTTATGCCACTGTACTCAACAAAGAGGTTTCTCTTGCATTTGACAGAGGCCGCTTTGCCGCAGACAGCACTACTTTCAAACTGATGTCATCCTCTCTCGCGCTGCTCGCAACTGTTTAGCGCGGTTACGAAACTGCTATGGCGTTATTTTGCGATATAATGGCTTCATGTAACATTTCTTCGAATGTCGATAGCACTATCATACCAAAATAAAATAAACAGGTATATTAAAATCTTTTTTTCCTTTTTTTCAAGGACCAAGTGGCGGGGGGGGAGTTGAGTTCGTTATGCTAGTGGGTTCATTGCAAGTAAATACAGCACATCTGCCTTTTCTGAATACCTGCGTGAGGGTCACATGTGACAGTAACGCTACTCTTTGGGGAACTTTAGCACTTTTCGACAAGTGCACATGTATGTCATTAGCGCTTGCCTCACAGCCAGGGTAGACTCGTATATATTCAAACTTCTTTATAACAAGGTCACAGCTGTCATGAAAGTACTTTATTGTATCCACAAATTGGTTAGAAATGAATATTCGTAATACAAAGTTGTTCTTTACTTACTTCAATATAAATGATAAGTCGTTATATTGGAATTTATTGTATTGAGGTTTGAGTGTATGCGCTAATTTTGAACAGTTCTAATTTGTGCAAGAATGTTCTCTACAACATGCATTTGCACTTGTCATGCAGGCACCAGATCCTGGAGAGTAGCCTTGCCTCCCAGATTGAGAAGCTGATGGGCAACTCGCCTGGTAAGTGTGCCTTGTTTGTAGTGGTGGGCTCTAATGAGATTTTTTGGAAATTGTGTGAGCTGTCAGTACTCTGTGCGTTACAACACTTGAGCATTCAGTTGTAAGGGTAGAGCTCAACAGTTTGTATAGGTGGTATTCACCTCCGAGCAACCCTGTTCTCCCGCGGCCTACGCTTTGGCTATCCGCACAGCATGCGAACAATGCGGAGACGGCACTACTTCCGGCCACCATAGCTTGAGCCATGTACACACGTGTGCCTCTGCGTGATACTAAAGTTGAGTCGTTTTTTTGCGCCCACCATCCGTTATCACCTTTGATTGTGCCATATTTGTGTGCAGCCATCGCACGAAATGGAAGGGTGACGAGTCTGAAAACTCAAAACCGGTTAAATTTTATTCTTTGCCGAAGGTTATTCGCAGTCGTGTAACCGTATGCTGCAGGTTGTGGCGAAGTATCGTGGCGAGTGATTCAGCAGTCTTCGCCAGGCTGATTTTTAACAAGGCTGTGGGATGAGTGCTTGAGTGTGGTTCACCTGCAAATGGAAACTCGGTTGAATTCGGATTCTGACAGCTTTGAGTAATTCAAATGCGAACGAAACACAAGAACAAAGAAATTACAATAACTCGGCAAATGCTGCGAGTTTCAATGCTCTAGCAGAAGACGTCTACTAAAAGCACAACACAGCAGAGTACTCAAGGTTGGATTATTCATATTTATACATTCAGGTGCTCTGCGAGCTTAAATGAAAGGCACACGCTTTTGTTTTTCTCGCTAAAATGACCCGGCTCAGTACGGTGTCAAAGTGCAGGTGGCTTGTAACTTTGGTCTAGTGAATAATTTAAGGCACTAAATACTTTTCATTCGATTGATCAAAGTTATGGGTGAGCCAACCACGTCCAAACTTCAGAATTATGTGCACTTTACCACAATGGAATCTGCCCCATGCATTGGTGTTTTCATGTGCAAGTTTGTAAGCGCTGTTAGCCCAGCGCTTCAACTAGATTCGTAAAATATCGCACTAGTATCAAGTTCATGGGTAAACTCTGCTTTAGCGCTTGCAGATAGAATATAACTTCAGATTAGCTTAACTTTGCATACACAGCGACGCAGTCACCTGTCACTTTTCAGCGAAGGTTCGTGGACAAACCCACTAGTAAAGCATCCAATGATTACATTGCTTTGAGTCGTTCGTGGGTCACAATACTTGTCGTATATGCACCAAACAGTCCTTTATGTCTCGAAAGTGCCACCTTCGAAAGCAAGTCTGGTGTCAAATGCGGCCTCCTCGCTCGTCAGAATGAGTGGGTCAATGCGCAGTGCAGAGAGCCACTCTGTCTGTGTATCGCTGTTTAGCATTGTTGTCTAATTTCTCGCGTACACGCTCAAGCGAGCCTACCACGCATTGCCCATTGCTGCAGCAGCTTCACTCACAACTGGTTAATCTCGTACCTTCTAAATCCGAATGAAATGAAACAGGAGCAACATGCCCGCAGTAACTTGTGTGCACCTGTTCGAACCACCGGACTTAGCTGTCGAACATGCCCGCAGTAACTTGTGTGCACCTGTTCGAACCACCGGACTTAGCTGTCGGTATGCTGCCGGCCGCCGCAATGGTGGCCTTCAAAATGGTGGCCACGCGGTTGTCAGCACAGCTGGCGCACTTTTCCCTGCCGCGCGCGCCAAGGTGATGTCGCGTGAATACAACCTATAACATTGGGACATGAAGAGTAGCATAGGACGAAAAAAACTTAACAAATACGTAACCACTCTGTCACTTACAAGCCACTTTTCTACGTAAACCGTTTGAGCTGACTTCCATCTACATTTGCACTATCTCGCACGTGGGAAAATTTTAGTTTTGTGTAACTGCCAGTTTTGGTGTTTTACACGACTTGTTTACTCTAACGAATCTAACTACTATATTATCAGTATGACTGTCTTGTGCTACAACCTAAAAGTGACCTGCTAGTGGGAGCAAAGTTACTTATTTCGGACTCAGTTTACTTGCAGAAGACTTGAGTTACCTCATGGATTTTTTTCGTCGTAAATTGTAAAAAGGGAACAAACTGCTTATTTGGCTACTAGTGCTGATACATTTTTGTTTAATCTGTGATTAACCTTACAATCCATGCCAGTTCCATATTGTCCTTAAGGTTTGCATTGTAATTAGTATGTTTGCTTTATAGCGGTTGTGGTCTTGCATGGGCAGTGATTGTACACTAGTTTGTTGTAGTGATTATGGTGTATTCAGTTTTCTATAGGGCCACCCTGGGCATTTTTTCTCTCGTTTCATGGCAGACAAGAATGCTTCGACCGGTGTGGTGTTCGGGCATGAGGCGTTCACGCTGAGCTACGATGTTGAGTGGCCCCTCAACCTCGTCCTCACCAGTTCGGTAAGAACTTAAGCTTCCTGTTTTATACAAGGGGTTCTGTTCTTTGTGACCTAGATTTTTTTTTCTGATCTATATTGTAACTCTTTGCAACTTGCATTATGATTGACGGTCTCTGAATGTGAAAGTTACATATGATGCTGAGGTTCAGGATATCGAATTAAACGCAAATGTAGTGTGAGAATAAATTCTTGTCTTTTACAGAAATCGGTTGTAGTTAACACATAATTATATATGTTGTAAGTAAGCCGAGCCATAATTTGTAACTAATCAAATTCAATCAGCCACTCAAACTATATGCGATAGTTACCTGCTGGCAGTGAGCATTCCTTGAATGTAACAGAAATATTTTGGAATTCCTGCCAAAAAGTCTCTCATCCAACATCTCATGAAATAGATTCGCCAAAGCGATTGTGCGTGCCGAAATGTTTCAAACACAAGTAATATGAAGGAACTTGGGCAACAGGAGGGCTTAATTTAACATTACCTCGGTGTTCGCAGTGGCTTTGGTGACAGCAGTGCACATAAATGGTGAAAGCAAGTTGCATCTCCAAATGAGGACCTCATGTTGTAAAGGGCTCGGAGTTGATTGTGAGTGAAGGTTGTAAGTGGGCTGTGAGTGGCTACCACTGTGGAAGGGCTGTGAGTGGATTGTGAGTGAGGGCTGCAAGTGGACTGAGATGCTGCCAGTGTGAGGGCTGGGAGTGGATTGAGTGAAGGGTGTAAATGGGCTGAAAGTGTGAGTGGATTGAGTGAGGGCTGTGAGAGGCTGCCAGTATGAGAGGGCTGTATGTGGACTGTGAGTAGCTGCCAGTGTGAGAGGGCTGTGAGGGCTGTAAGGGGGGTGTGAATGGATTGAGTGAGGGCTTTAAGAGGGCTGTGAGTGGATTGTGAGTGAGGGCTGTAAGTGGGCTGTGAGTGGCTACCACTGTGGGAAGGCTGTAAGTGGAATGTGAGTAGCTGCCAGTGTGAGATTGCTGTGAGTGGATTGTGAGTGAGGGCTGTAAGTGGGCTGTGACTGAATTGTGAGTGAGGGCTATAAGGGAACTGAGTATCTACCAGTGTGAAAGGGCTGCGAGTGGACTGTGAGGGTTGTAGGTGGGCTGTGAATGGATTGTGAGTGAGGGCTGCGAGTGGGCTGTGAGTGGGCTGTGAGTGGCTACGACTGTGGGAGAGCTGTGAGTGGCTACGACTGTGGGAGAGCTGTGAGCGGATTATGAGTGTGGGGTGTGAGTGGCTGCCAGTGTGAGATTGCTTTTGGCGGATTGTGGGTGAGGGTTGTGAGTGGGCTGTTAGTGGCTGCCAGTGTAAGAGGGCTGTTGGTGGTTTGTGGGTGAGGGCTGTGAGTGGACTGTGAGTGACTGCCAGTGTGAGAGGGCTGTAAGGGCTGTAAGTGCACTACGAGGGAGTGCTGTATGTGAATGTGGAAGGGCTGTAAGTGGGCTGTGAGTGGCTGTGAGTATGAGATGGCTGTGAATGCATTGTGAAGGCATATTTGAAACTGCTGCATAGTTCGTTTGTTGAACTGTTGTCTGTTGGTTGAACTGCTATCTTGTTTAACATCACGAGTGCAGTGACGACACGCATGTACAATTTTCCTCAGCTCAATATCGCTTACAAAACGGAAATCCATAGCCTCACGAGCTCAAAGCTGGTGCCTGGCTTCAAGTTGTTTGTATTTTAACTACCACATAATATGTTCTTATTTGGGATTACATTCAAGTGAGGGAAGTGCATTTAGTAATGGAAGTATGGGTAGTGGAAACCACACACAATCTTGCAACTCGTGATGTCATGTGCTCCCGAATTGCAAATCATATTGAACGTGACTGCACATTATTACCGAACTGATGGCATTGATAAAAAAACTAGTCTCTGTCAGTGTGGATACCAAAGGTTTGTGTCGCTCACAGATGTTCTGCTCATGACGTGAGGTTGTTGTGGAGCCCTTGATTTTACAAAACCTCCTCCTGTTATATCGCATGTTGAAAATTTTTTACAATTAAAAATGGATAAAATCGATTCTGAATTGTGCACGGCACGCCTCCTTTCGCTGGTGTCCACAGTATGCCCCTCCTTTTCAGAGCCTCGGCTGCCACCAGATGGTATTCCGGTACCTCTCCTACCGGACGCACGTTGAGCGTGGGCTCTCTAAGTGAGTCCTAGTTTTCTGCTCACTTTTTTTGTGTGGTCACCACCACCTTTAGGCAGGCTGTGGGAATCTCAACTGCTGAGGAGACAACTTTTGATGGGCTCGGGGCAGCTGTCGTCGTGTGACCTGGTGAACGCATGTTGAGCTTGGAGCCGCTTGTGCTGCAGCAAAGGCTGTGTATGGAGTTCAACTGTATTATTGCACTTGCTTTCTTTTGTTTATACAAGTGCCTCACGGGTTCCATGTAGGAACATTGAGTGAGGGTACATTTTAAGGGTGGATGCGGCATTTTGGGACCAAAAGTTGGCCATAAAATTGTATCGCGGACCTTTTTTTCGCATTCCCGACATCATTGCGCACCTATTTACAAAATTTCATAGCCGAATACCATCAACTTTTATCGTTATTCAGCTTTAAAAAAACTGAGGACAGGCGTCATGCTCTTCAAGTTGAGTGCAAGTAGCGCAGATTTTGGCTCTATGATACGTGGGAACTATACGCTCGATCAGCGCCATTTTGGTCTTGTTTGAAAGAGTGTGTGTACAGCTGTTCTTTTTTATTCAGTAAGCAACATTGAGCATTACTTTGAATAAAAAAACAGGGCCTCAAAGACAAAGAGCAGCGCTCACTGCCATTGGTTTAACGGGGCACGGGACTAAAATGGCGCTTTTCAGTTGGCTGGAAGCTGGCGGCTTATGCCTGCATACGCGACCCGATGCCATTTTGAAATGGTTACCGTTGTGACGCCTCAAAATCGGCAGAGCCTTCGGAAGCTTTTAATCATATCGGCATGCCCCCAAAGGCAAAGAAGTATCGCACCGTGCATGCATTTGGTCGCAGGAAGCGCAAAGGTCGCGGGAGAAAGTCTACGTAGTCATCAGAGCCCTTGGTTGACTCCGACAAACAATGTGTCGACGCTCTGCGGCCGTTCAGCCATGGTGCGACTGAGCGCGTTGCCTCCGACGACAATAACGGTGAAGCGAACTCCGGGCGACTACGAATCGGCACCAAGGTGCTGACAGACGTTCAAGTCAAAGAAAATTGTGCCCGTGAGAAAGCGATGCTCGAGTGGTTTTCATCGACGCCAGCAACAGCACTGAAAATTGACTCTTTCATCTCAAGTTGTAGCGAGGCAACCACACAGGACTTTGACAACAGCACTCCTTATCTACTTGTGTATCTAGATATGCTAAACGCGATAATTGGTGCCTTGTGCTGCAAAACTTGCCACAGACCAGCTACGATCGTCAGAAGGGATCAGGATTATGGACTGGCTGTGAAAGTGTTAGTGCAGTGTGAAATGAGCCGCAAGTGTGAAAGGAGACAACGGGCATCTCTCACAGCGGTATGTACCACACGATGTTTCAGTGGCATTCGAAAAATACGTTGGCCTCCGCTGCAACGCAAACCGCTGAGCCTGCTATGAGTGAATGTGCGGAGAAGGTTGCTAGAATTTATGATGACTTGTGCTTCGGCCACCGGGACAATATTGCCGTTAGCTACGACGGCACATGGAAGTCGGGAGGCAATTTTTCTCACATCGGCGTCGGCATAGTTATTGACTTATTGACTAAATAAGCAGTAAAATCTACACAAGCTTACCAAATTTGATTGAGGTATTCAAAAAAATGAGTTTTGGGAAGTGTAGCGTCTCCCCTTAAGAGGAAAGTGAAAAAGTAAATATTTTAACGCGGACTGAAAAAGGGTGGAAGAAGAGATCGGACGCACTCGAGCGATGGTGATTCGGCAGTGAGGGTAGAGCGCTGACATTTTTCATTGTAAATAGACCCATCACATCGGTAACAGCTTTGGTGGAGTGGTGCTGGGTGACTTGCCATCCTGGACCCCGCAGCAGAAGTTCTTCGAAGAAGCAGACGCTTAGCTGGCCTACCCCCGGACAACATCAGCACGAACGACGACACAGCGATTCCATCGACGTCCTACGCTGCTGCATCCACCAGTGCCATCGACACGGCACAAGGTGGCCGTCGACCTCGACAACCAGACTACTGGGCACCTGAGCCACGAATTTTCTCAGGTAAAACTGACGAAGACGTGGACGCTTAACTAAAACACTTCGACACAGTGAGCCGCTACTACGAGTGGGGCGCACTGGCGAAGCGCGTGAACGTAGTATTCTTCCATGCCAGGACAGCCTTGCTTTGGTTGAACAAACGCTGTCAAGCAAACGCTGTCAAAAGCTGAGCAAACGCTGTCACGTAGGGCTCAGTTGCCCGGCGAGACGTGCACAACCTACATTGAAGAAGTGTTGAAGCTTTGCGGGATTGTCAACGCAAATATGTCTGACGAAGACAAAGTCGGTCATTTGTTAAAAAGCATCGCCGAGGACGTGTACAATTTTTTGATAACAAATGAAAACTTGAACACTCCTTCGATTTTCAGGCAGCAGTGTCGCGCATTCGAGGCGTTGAAGACCCGAAGAATTTTACCCAAGTTCGGGCGCTTGGACAATGTTCCCACTGTCGCAAGTATGGACGTCGCCACCTGCGAAGACATTTCCTTCCTTGTACGTCGGGTAGTTCGAGAAGAGCTCGTACGACTTCAAGCAAGTGGCGTTCACCACCAATGCTCGTTCGCTGCGTGCCCCGAACCACCTCCCTACTCGATGCGAGAGCGTCACGTCGAAAACCGACCACGCAAAGAAACTGCAGATTTTACCCCACGGCTTCAGTTTTCCCCGACGGGTCGTGGCCACCACCGGATGTCATCATCACGTGCCGCTGCGGACCTCCGACCGTCGTCAACCAGGCCTCTACCAGAAGATTACTATGCATCATCACAAAATGTTCTTGCGGAGCTCGACCCGTCTCCGCGTACTTCTGCCACCTCT